TCAGAATAGAAGGTGGAGTTACAGCAGTAATTGCAGATTTCTCTGGGTTTCAGAAAAAGTTATAAAGCTTATGTTTATGCCAACTATTACTCCGCCTGGTGCTCCTGGGATAATGGTGGTTAAGGGAAAGTGTAGATAATACTGCATGTGAAAGCATTTTCCCACATTTATTTTGTAACATTTTTAAGCACCCAAAGAAGAGGGAAAATCATAATGCCCCCCTCACATTCATTGGCCAGCAGTATCTACTATTGAAATGTTCATATTGTATGAGTGATATCTAGAGACTGGATGATAGGAGGTATAAAATGAGTTTCCAATATATTCCCTTAAGCCTTCACAGAGCTGGAGTTAGCTGTACATAAGGTATTGATGTGCTGACGGATACAACAATGTATGTACAACGAGGGATTCAACAGAAGAAATGCATGTGCACTGTAAGATCAAACCACTAAGAATATCCCATTATTTGTTATCCAAGTCTAAATTATTCCCAGAAACTCCTACTAGACAAAAGAAATTCATATTAGACAAAACAATCTAAATCCAAAAAAAGAGCTTTCTTCACTGTTTTATGTTTAACTGGGTAGAAAACTAAAATTCAGTCCTCTTTCCATACCTCAGTGCTATTACCCCCATTGCCCCCACTACCCACTGCCTGCCTGCCTGTGCGTCTGTCAGAGGGATGTCGCTGGGGTTGTGAGCGGTGGCTGCAGGAAGCAGATAGTTTATCTCCACTGTCTTTTGCCAACACAAGAGGATTCACCCTGTGTAATTCCAGCTACTTTATGTCTTCTCCATAACACTGAGATAAGCAGATCAGTCAAAACAAACCTTAAAAAAAAAGGGGGGGTGGGGGGGACAACAACTGGCAAAACTCATTTACCACTAGTTCAAAATCAAATTAACCTTGTTGGTTTTTTTTCCACCAGATCTTTTTTTGACTGATCATTTTAGTAATGCAGTAAGCATGAAAGACAACATAAATCTACTTACTAATTCCAATACCATTTTTTATATCCTAGCAACACATAATTTGTGCACATAAATACACACGTGACTATGAAAATGTACCTGTAAATTTGCATTCCAATTGTTTAAATACTTTTAGAGTTTGCTTTCCAGTGAAATGTTCTCAGTTTCAAAGCCTTTGTGAGAAAAATCAAGATCTTGACATCTGTGCAAAAAGAAAAGTGAAAAAAGGAACCCAAGTACAACTTGCTGTTCCCAAGCCCTAATTTCACTCTAGCTGTGGCTTTTAAACAGGAAACCTCTGTTCCAAGAAGATGTGCCAAACAGATAGTCTGGCCATGTGAAAATAAACAGCCTTCCCACTCATGCTAATAGGTGAGCAGTCAGCTGATTTGGAAAAGCAAAGATAACTTTTGAAAATACAGACCATAATTACATAGCCAGATGAGTTAGGCTGGGAAATAAAAATACTTTTTTTTTCTTTTCCCCCTAACAATTTATCACGTCAGAATTTTTGTATTTTCTAATTTCTCTTAAAAAAAAAAAAAAAAAAAAAAAAAGTTTTGCTTGTCTTCCAGTATTATAAAGAGTTATTGCTGAAACCCACTGGAAAGCATTGTGCTCCTAATAACACAATGAACAGCATCTCTTATTGATATGATTTAAAAGCACCCACAAAGTCTATTGCAATACACCACAAAATAAATAAATAAATAAATAAATCAGGTTATAGCTTTATATTTGATCCTTTATAGTCAAAAGACAATTAGCACTGACTTGGAATGGAAAATGATGTAGTTCCTCCTTTATTGTCCTTTAATATCACACATTTTCTGACATGGCCACAGGTATAGCTATAGCTATGTTTAGAAACAAAAATAAATATAATAATAAAAAACAACAACAACAAAAGATGATACTACAATGTATTTTTATTTGTAACAGAGGACAAAGAAGCCCTTGTCTTCTTCCAGCATCAGGTATTTGCTGCCAAGAGCCTGGCAGGCTGATTCCTCCTGCCCTGAACCCAGACAAACACCCTCGGTTCCCCTGACCTGGTTCAGCACAGGGTGTCCCCTGTGTGGGGATGGGCTTTGGTTCCGAGGTGCACAGAGCTGATCCTTCATCTGCCACTCGCATGTGCCAGTACCAGTCTGTGCTCTGGGGACTGCCAGGAGCAGGGCTTCCTTCCAACTAAGGGGAAGAGCTTGGCATCAGACGATGGCATACTCTTAGGAATAACTTTGGGGTTGCTTGCTAATTCTGCTCTTGCTGTGCACAGAGTGCAGGCTTACACTGATAGGATTTACTTGCGGGTCTTCGATATGTTTTCTCAGCATGTTTCTCTTATCTGGTGCTAGCATGTGCTTTTGCAGATGAGTCTCCAACCATCGTAGTTTGGCAATAGCCCACCTGCCACAGGAGCCCGCTGATGCCCAGCACAGCCCACTCAGCCTTCTTCACGGAGGTGCTGCCAGCAGCCAGAGACCTCCGCTGGGCTCCACGCCAAGTCATAGAATCACAGAATTGTAGGGGTTGGAAGGGACCTTGAGAGATCATCGGGTCCAACCCCCCTGCCAAAACAGGTTCCCTATAGCAAGTTAAACAGGTAGGCATCTAGAGAGGCCTTGAATATCTCCAGAGAAGAAGACTCCATGGTACTCATCAGGGCTCATTTCCAACTGCCCAACACCAAGAAATAAACTGTACACCTCATGCTACTGTCCTGATGGAAGAGCTGTCCTTTTTAATGAGACTCACAGCACAGGCAACCCAGCTTCTGGTTTGTTTGTCATTGCTTTAGGGATGGTGGATCAACAGCTTCAGCTCCCAACTGCCACGGGAAGGCCAAGTGGCCCCAGCATTTGAAGCACTGGAGGCCAGTCTTGGTTGACAAACATTCCTCAGCATCAGCCTTTTATCTCAACAAAACAGCACAGTGGATCTTTTATGGCTCTTCTGTCCACAAGTCCATTCAAACTTTGATGCGACTGTCACTGGAATACAGGAAGCTCCATTTTGACAAGACTTTTCTTTCAGATGGCTTAAAACTTGACAATTTTGGAGTTGCACTTGTCTATACTGGTTAAAGGGAAGCCTTGCTCCCATTCAAAAATACTCATTCACATAGTGGACACGTCATTCCTTTGTAAGGGAACATATAGCAATTATTTATCATTATATTCTTGCACAAAAAAATGCCTTTAAGCATTCTGATAGAAATTATAACCATGTGTTCAGCATTTGTATAGCTGAATCTTGTATGATGCAGAACAAAAATAATCAAGTTTTGACATTTGATTCTTCTGCATTGTAACATGATGATCTCAAATTGATATAAAAAAATCAATATTTAGAATTTTTTCTGTAGATTGTTGTTAGAAACAGAATTTCACTCTACTGTTGAATTATAAAGTCATTAGTATCTTATAGAAATAATTACTGCTGGATTTTTGAATTTTAATCCATATTAATTGCTTAGGCAGGTAAAAACATGGAGCAATATGTAGACAGCAAAATTAAAGATAGATAGGTACAGTTAATGTTACAGATGTTGAATACAACATCCAGAACACGCACATAGAACAAATAATAAAAATAATAACAATAATAATAATAATAATTAATAATAATAATAAAACAAAAAAATGGATAGAAAAATTATGTGTCACTGACAATTTCTATGAACAGAAGGTGTCCCTTGAACTAGACAGTTTTAGGTGTAAACATAAGTAAAGCCAGCCTCGGAGCTCTTTCAACACGCTTATAACAATGCTAGAGCAGTACCTTTTGTTTGGCTTAGCAAAAACTATGTTATGTGCTTGGCTGACTCACTAGCATTGGTGGCTCATTTCTGTACTGAGATAACAAAGACGGATGTATGGTCTAAGCTGAGCACTCCTCAAACATTAACTGCAGGAGCAGCAAAGCCTACAGAGAAAGTCTGAGTTAATCTTTATAATATCCTCTTTTTCATATAATTGTTAATTAATCCTAGAAAGGGAGTGTCTTACCTTATATTGAACTCATTATTTTTCAGTGTATCATAATAAAATTATACCCTTTTTTTTTCATTTCTAATATGCCTGCTTTTAAGTCATATTTTGATAAGCACAGAATACAAATTAAAGAAGTAAAATAAATAGAATCAACAAACAAGAGTCTAGAAAGTACCTACTATGAACTGAGGATATACCGTGATAACAGGGAACCTACAGATAGGCAAGTCCAAAGGCTGTCCTCATCCTTGTTGATGTATACGCACTGTATAGTCACTTACTTATTCTTCTAATATTTTTTTTCTAATTGTTCTCCTTGTATTTCTTTGTTCCTTGTACAGCCTGTCTCTTACCTTTCCTTCTCTATCTATCTCAGTTTTTTCTGTTTCAGTTCAATCTTGAGCCTATGAGTTCAAGCTCATGGATATACCTATGCTGCATAAACTGCCAGGCTGATTTAAATAAATGAACTCCTTATTTACGATGCCCAACCCATCACAGCACATGATTCAGCAGGTTATAATTCACAGAAGGAACTGATAGCTCAGATCCTCAGCATTCTGAAGTTAACAAACTAGGTTAATATACAGCAGATGATGTAAAGGAGTCAGCTTTTCATCATTCAGACAATTGAAAGACCTGCCAAAAAGCAGAATTTTGTAACAGTTAAAAGCAGCAAAGGGTATAAAACCAGAAACAACTGTCAAATTATTGAATCAATTTAGTGGTGCTTTAGAAACCATTTTAGTACAATCTTCCTCTGATCCATTCCCTCCAGTGTGTGAACTCTGTTTAAATACATAGCCTGACTCTTGTTTAATGTTTTTTAACCATAAAAACTGTGTATAGCAAGAAAAATACAGCATATTAATTAATAATATTATTTCCATTAATATAGTCTTTAAAACAAAGAAGGCAAAATTCACTTGTAAGTCTTTCTCAAGAAATGGTACCGTGGCTTAATTTTATTATGTGCTAGCTGTAAAAAGCTGAACACTAGGAATATAATTGAAACCAATGATATATGTTCCACTGCATTAACACAAAAACCTAAAGTTAATATCTTACAAAGATTGTATTTACTTAACTTGGCTGATGTAGTTACCTCACGTTATCAGTAATAGGAACAATAACTGGATTGAAACTGTAGATGTTATACTTCCATAAGTCATTTTTTGACCCTTGCACTTTATTTGGTTTAGTCAAACTTTTTTTTATGAGATCAAATCTTTTCCGCCACTTACAAAGCTGGAATTTAATTAAAGCAGATTTTTTATTTTTTTAAAGTTTGGATATTGCCGTTTCTAATTTTCCAAGGCTTTACTGAGTTGAGTATATTATCTACAGGGTCAAGTCCACAGTTCAGTTTCAGAAGTGTTCAACAACAGCTATGACAGCAGTGTCAACGTGTAAGGAGGTGCCTCAGCAAAAGCAATAAGAACGTACACTAAATGTGGAAATATCCTTCATGACAGTTCTCGCTTCATTGCCAGCATATTTCCCAACAAGAGGAACAGGCATGTTGGTATGTAGAATATATGTCTGTTTTGTATTTTTACGTGTCCTGTACTCTTTTCTTTCTCTACAATTTCATTTTCTCATTCCTATAGAAAACCTAGAAAGACATCAACTGTTTTTACTGCCAATAAACAACCTAGACTAGAGAAAATGCATATAGATTAAAAAAAGAATAAAAGAAAAAAAGAAAAAAGAAAAAAAAAAAAGAGGAAAAAGTAAAACTTAAAATTACAGATTTCATTATTTCCAACTCCCACTTAGTTCTTATTCTAATCTCGGTTCTATCTTTGTCTGAGCTCTGAAGTTAAAAGCCCTGTTTGGAGAAATTAAGGATTTTTGGTTTATTTTCAGTCTCACATTTTTCTTCCATCCTGTCTAAGGCTGTGATTTGCTCCTTATTATTTCCTTATTTTCTTAGTCTTCCCACACAAGTCAACAACCATTTTTGTGGAGGAACCTGCTACAAGTTAGTGAAGTCCAAGCCACACCAGTTTAATGGATCCACTTTATAAAGATTCCTGTAGGGCCAGAATTTTGTTTAGAAAATAAAATTCTGTAGAATCCAGTCATTAAACTACTTTCTGTACACATTTTGTTGAAAAGGCTAGGCTAAGAAACATTACACAACCACTGAATACCAGCTCTGGCACTGATTTGTTTTCCCTGCCTGGTGAACTGGTATATCATGAGGCACATTATTTAGGTTTCATCTGTTTTTAGAGTGTTTTAGAGTGTAAAACATATATATATATTTTTAAATCCTTTCAAAAATTGTATCGATCTTCCCTATCTTTTCCAAGTTAATCATATTTCCAAAGCCATCAGAATTCGTTACAAAGATCTGGAGTTTCACTGGTCTCCAGTAAAATGTCAGCATCTGTATCTCAAGTGGTATAATTTTATAGTATTTTAGTAGTGTCCCTGTAAACACATAGTAACAGTGAAGGCTGGTCCAAGTTCTCTACAAGGGTGTCAACCTTTGTCTTTATTTTGTCCCTACCAACATCTCTTCCTACACCTACACAATTTCTTTTACTCATTTCTATCCAGCTCACTACAGTCTGCTTTCAAAATGATATTATGAACTGAGTGAATAACCCATGTTTTGTTAGGTTAGTCATATTCAAAAGGCATTGTCCTAAAACAAGTCTCCCTCTATTGAAAATATATGATAGGCATGTCAGCCTCTGAGGAAAATTTCTCAAAAATCATAGCACTGAAGACTGAAGGTTTTGTGTAACCTTAATATGAAATAGTCCCTATAACAGAAGCAAAAGATGCATCTTACAAATGTAGAGTGATCTTACAGTTCTCCAAAGAAATAGGGGCAGCATATTAGATCACATGGGAATGACAGGTCATTTAGAAACATCTTCCCAATATTACTGAACAAGAAGACCACACTCTTCCGCACACCAGCACCTATAGCTCTGTTCTGAAGATTCCTGTCATATGATGACACCAAACACAGTGATTGCTTTTGAGTTCATTCTTTCCTCATTTTTTTTTTCTTTTTAACTCTTGTTCCTCCCTGAGACATGTATTTCTGTTTCCCACGGTCAAACAAGGGAATAAACATGGTTAGGAAAACATGATGATTATGTTCCATGTCTCTGTGGTATGACTTTAACGACCAAAAGAAACTTGAACTTTAAAGATGGCCTAAGCACTGGGAGACATAAAAAATAGCTTTGCATTGTATTTGTCACAAAACTAAAGAGTTATTAAGCTCTTCTTTTTATATAGGAAATTGTAAAGAGTAAAACAAGAATGTGTTGCTTTCTGAAATGTTACTTGGATCAAAATAAACTTAAACATATGGAATTTATTCACTCACAGCTTTTAGCACTTGATTCCAGTTTGTCTGGTAGTTTTACTTTTGTTTTAAGTATTCAAAAGAGGAGGTACCAGTTTTTCAGTCACAACAGAGAAACATGCGAGGGGTTAACCCTCTGTGTTCTTTGGCTTCATTACAGGTATCTGACCAGAATTTGTGTCTACTTGTAAAGCTTCCATAAAGTATTAATAAGACTTCAATTATGCATAGACCTTCTATTTTTCACAAATATTGCACATTTCTCTGTTCGTGACAAACATAGGACACAGACAGAATATTCTGGTCTTCCATTGACCATGTCTCCAATGACTAGTCTCCAAGAAGACAGATAAGGTATTTTCTCAGTGGACAACAGACAATGTATGTGTATAAATAGATTAACACTGCAGTATGATAATTTATCATAATGTTTTGTGATTTGTAATATTAAATCAAATGACACATTTATTCTGATAGCTGCATATATTTGTTAATAAAATTGTCCTAATCCAGAATTAAGAAATATGAAGCCACACACTTTTTAAACATTTTTAAACATTTCTTAGTGTTTATGACTTTTTTCTCATTTATCAGCTCACTCTTTTTAATGTTTGTTGTACCTCAGCACCAGTAGATGGCTCTGCTTGTATTCTGTCCTAAACGTATGACAACCACGTAAACACATACTGCCAATGATAGGAAAAAAAATGCATTGTGCTAGACAGTTAAAGAGCTTATATGCCAACAACTTTCAGTGAGACTTCACAACTTTCAAAAGCATTACCAACTATCAGTAAAATCTGTGCATTTTTCTTTTACTTTGCTCAGATCGATTTTTCTCTTTGTGCCTAATGTCTACAATTTTATGATTACATTTAACTAATCAATGATATATAAGTCAAAATATCATTTAAATAAATGAATATACTATACATATATACACAACTATACAAAATATATCCGTTTGGCTTCTAACTTTCCTGAAAGAACTTGTAGACAGTTATGTATCAAAAAATGCCATCAACTGTAGAGAACTTCCAGAAATTAGGATCCTTCTTTAATTGCATACTAATTTATTTCTTCCAGCTATGAAGTGCATGAAAGATAAATTAACCTTATTGACATATGGGATAATGGAAGAATTTGACTCCCTATATAGGAAAAGCTGTAAGCTTTGAATCCATATCTAGATTCAGGCAGATACATATACATGTATGTTAACTGTTGTATAGAAAAAAAAACATACATATAGTCTGTCAATAACATATTTTTCAAAAGCCACACAGGTGTAAGTTCATGTCTGATTGGAACAGATCATTCTTACGTTTATTGAATAAAATGGGATACGTACCTAATACGTCATACATACCTATATTTTAAAATAATTGAATAATTAGAATATTAAAAATTGATCATTTAGAAATCCCCTTTACTTAGCATGTAGCTAATATAATTAGAGGAGACTGACGCTTTAGTTTGTATAAATGCTATTTGTGTTTTTCAGACCAAAATTTTGCAGCAAACATACCTGTCCTTTAGAAATCAATAATATACAGAATAACTCCCAAAGTGATCAGAAAGATTCTTCAAAAGGACCATTTTTCATAGAAGCTGAATCAGTACAGGTATGGTTTTTACTGACATAGCCATCTCATTCTAATAATTATTGTTTGTATCAGTATGGATCTGAATTTTAAAATTCTTACAGATCCATTCACTGAGCTGGGTCTCTTATACTAGCTAATCTTGTTTACAATTACGTTAATATTTTACTAGGGCTTAAAATGCAACATGCTTTACAATGTACACACTCCAGTCCTGTCTGCCTAAATGGCATTGTTATAACTTCTATGTGTCAGCTTGCATGCATATTGCTTGCATCTTGTAGGCAGGTACAAGAAAAAAAACAACTTGTTGAGCTCTGTGCCTGCTCCTTGCACTTTCACCACTTGTCCCTGGGAGTTTCTAGCCTGGTGTGTACTGTACCTGCCATGAGGAAGGCAGCAACTGCAAAGCCTCAGGGAACCAAGATGCATTAGATCCTTCCAGCTTTAAGTGATTGACTTGTGCCTGAATCATTTTATGAAACTGTGATGATTACGAAGAAACCCCAATGGACTGTACACACAAATTCCTGGTAATCAGTAAGTGCTGGCTTCCCTTTATTTACTACAAGCTGCTTCAATGTCTTGATTTGCTTCTGATTCTTCACAACTTCTCTGTACAAATGTGCTCCTTGGTTTTCAGACTTCTGGGAGACTGCTTTTTAGACCTAAATCCTGTGAGTAACTGAACACTTTACATTTCCCTTGACTTCAGAACTTCCTCACTAACTGCTGACAGGGGCTTGACTGGTAATGTGATCGTTGCTTTGGTAATGCCGGGGCTTGCTCTCATACATGTTAAACCTTCCTCTACACAGAATGTAGCGTAGATGTGTACTACAAGTTTTACTGCTAAGAAAATCTACGCTATCCTACAGATACTTTTTGTTTTAATAAGGATTTTTTGCTATGCTGAAAGATTCACACATTGCTTAGAAATATATAAAATATATAGGATATAGACAGACATAGGTATCCAGCTGAGTGCAGCGTTACTTCAATAGCTGCTCTCATAACAGTAAAAGCAAGCTGTAAACGCCTCCTAGAGCAAACTCTACGTGCGTGCTACTTAGTAAGTAAAAGGGCTTAAATTTGCATTCCTGCATGAGCGACAGCATTGTTCCCTTACCTGCTGAAGTTACTTAACCAGTTAGACCAGGATCTGGCATCCTTCTGACTAAAGACCTGACTTCTCTGGGAGAGCAATCCCTCTCCACCACCAGCAGAGCCAACAGTTTGCACTTTTTCCTAGGTGGAGCAGTAACAGTTCATGGAGCTGCCTTTCACAAACCTTGAAGTAGCTTTCATCCTGCTGGCTTTTGTCATTTTCTCCTTGTTTACCCTGGCATCTATCTACAGTGATCCCCATGACAACAAAGAAGGTAAATGAAATAATCTAAAATAAATACAGTAGTGTACAGCTTTTACTAACTAATATTCTAATTATAGGTTTTGCGATCGATCTTGCTGATAGACTTGTAGTACACAACACTTCAGCTTCACAAGTACCATGCAGAGAGCAGAGAGTAATCAGTTACGTTATCAGTAAAAGTCACAAGCACAGAAATTGCGCTAAGGTATGAGACCGAGGGCTGTTGCAGCCCCATCTCCCCACACAGCCTGAGCTGTGCCAAACTGCTCAGAGCAGCACTGAAAGTAACCTCCCAATGAATAAGTGCTTGTTCTTTGCAAGGGAGCTTTTTTTTTTTTTAACTTTTTTTCCCTTTTTTTCCCTAGCAACAGTTCTGCTTCGTGTTCAGAGGCACTATAAAACAGTCAGGCTGGGGATGTTCTTGTAATCAAGGTAAATGTTTGTTTTTATTAGGCTGAGGCCAAGTCCTTGCTCCCTTTTGTAAGAGCAAAAAAATGCCATTCAAAGCACGGAGGGTGTCTGTCTCCCTTTTAAAAGGTTTTGAAATCTGTGGATGTGAGGGGGGAGAACAACTTAATCCCCTGCTAGATCTACAAAGGAGATTTAACATAACCTTACAACATCAGCAGGGAATTCTCTTGTTACCACAGTCATAGCCATGCCCCCTAATCCTCTGCTGGCAGGAGCCTTGCCGGGCACTGGAGCAGAGCTGGTCAGAGGAAGCTCTGGCAAGCCCCACCAACAAAGCACAGCCTCTCCTCTTCCCATGGGATCACCCCAGTCCTACCCAACTCCACACTGAAGGCAGGAGGGAGGAAAATTAAAGGTGACTGGAATAAGGCACAATACAGCTGCTGGTTTCTGCTCTATCTGATCGTAACTCAACCTACATTAATTTGGTTTCTGTCTAAATACCTCTCGTATGGATTTTTTGCTGAGCAACACCACCAGTGGAGTGTTCTTAATGTGTGTTGTCTCACAAAACTTCAGGCTGCTTGATCGCTTGTAAAACACCAGCAATCCGCATGAAGGTAAATAAGTGTCACTGCTTCTGCAGCCTGCATCCCAAGTAGTTTTCTTTCTTACCCTTCTGCTGCCTTGGATTTTACATAATTTCTACACAGAAGGGGAAAGCGTTAGAAAACAACGCACATTTCTGCGGGCAAAGTATGGTTGCCATGAGAACTGACCTCATTCAGACAGCATGGACACAAACAGGTTTTCCTGAGAGAGGTCCATTGCACAGCCATGGCAGGAACAGCGGCTCCTCGCACTCCAGCAGGGACCAGGGAAAGAAGCGGACAAGGTGTACGCTCCCTGTGGCAACAAGCAAACATCAGCAGGGCAATTTTGCACAGGCTTGCAGATGAAAACTAGATGCTGTTTCACCTGTTTGTAACTGAGATATGTCATTCAAGGTTAGAAAGGGAAGTGAAGTGAATCATATTGATTTTAAACTTCTGTGCCTGCAGGTGGACTATGCAAGGACAAGGTTAGGTCTCCTTCCTTGCCCTCAGCTTCCACAGTAATTTACTACAGAGATTGCATACGAGTAGCTCTGACAGTATTTTCTCAGTGTCAAAACTGCACAAGAACTTTCCACCTGTCCAGTTTTTACCCCCATGGCCATGCTTTTAGTTTGCAAAGAGAAAGCTAAAACTTCTGCTGAGCACTATATTAGAGCAGAGTCCTGACGTAAGAGCTCATGGGTGCCAAATGTCCTGCAGAGCTTGGTATGCTCAGCACAGCCAGGTCTGTCATTCCAGCTTAGGGCAGCTTGTGTCCGGGGACCTTGGTTGGAACTGCAATGAGAGCAAATTGCATTTATTCTGCCAACACAATAACCCCTGAATTCAGGCAACGTCTTCCTGCACTAATAGCATCTTGCAACCACGTTTTTAAACTCTACTTTTAGAGAAGTGATTGGCAGAGAGAAAATCTAAAACATAGCCAGCTTTCTAAAAGACGGTAGCAAGAGGAGAATGAAAACTATTACCCCCCTTGTGCTAACACTGATGAGTGTCATATCGGAAACACTGCCTCGATTCAAAGCTAAGTGAAAAACACTTAGATGCTTGCGTCAGGAGCTGGTCAGCAAAGGACTTGAGGCATGCTTACTGTTACACAGCAGTAGGACACTGTGTCAGTATCTTCTATAAACAGCCAAAAGGGGGCAGTTTCCCTTGACTTCCATACAGCATGTTATCTGAACAGAAAAGAAGAGCTACAGCAGGATTTTCATCTAAACTTCAGTTATTTCGATACAGTAATTTAGGTGGGGAAAATTGTACTTTTGTGAGAAGATGTGTTTGTTGTTTTATTTTCTCTTGTGGCCAGGAAGTTTGCATGATGGTTTTCCCACAGTATAGACCATTGCAGGTATCTTCCAACTATCCAGGTAGATTAAGGAAACTGAGAAGTAGAAATGCTATAATGAATTTCTCAAGGTTCCCAAAAAATTTATAAGGGACATTTTCCTAAAAAACAATCTGGCCTTGTTTTACAGTATTCAATCATGGCATTGTATAGTAAGTAAGTAGATCACATTGCATCCTTGCCAGAGTTGGGAGTTCTGTAAAATTATCCTCATGCAGTAATCCATGTGACTGTAAACATAACAAATTCCTACAAGTTTCACTCAGAGGGTGATGAGGCACTGGAACAGGTTGCCCAGAGAAGCTGTGTACGCCCCATTCCTGGAAATGTTCAAGGCCAGGCTGGATGGGGCTTTGGGCAACCTGGTCTGGTGGGAGGTCTCCCTGCCCATGGCAGGGGGTGGAACTGGGTAGGCTTTAAGTTCCCTTCCTACCCAAGCCACTTTGATTCTATGATTGCTTAGAATAAGCAAGGTTTCCCTGCTCAGAAAGAAAAATGGTATCTGACAAATGAGTAAGACATGAGTGACAAGTGAGACCCTAGTAAGACAAATTCCCAATAACATGACAACTGAGATACTCGAAGGACATTGAAGAAGTGCAGGAATTACGTCTTCACAGTGAAGAATGGACACTGTTAAAAAATGCCCAAGTGCCTCACTAGAACTGCCATCAGGAAATTTCTATAGTCAAAACCTGTTCTCTGCCTGTTTTGTTGTCAAAAGATGTGTATCTCCAAATCATCACCCTCAGGAGCATGAAACAATTAAGAAAATTACGGTTAAAATAAGGCATGTGTCCTTATCTTTATAGTACGCATAATAGCACTCCTGGAAGAGCTTCAAAACCAAATCCTACAGAAATCCTATATGTAAGATCAAAAAAATATTCATTACATGACTACAGAACCATTTTTTGCTGACATTACTTATTGTTCTTTGTAAGTAGAGGTCTACAGGCTAACATCTGGTGCAGCCAGAGGTACGGTGCATAGACTAGAGCAAAGGCTGATGAGAATGTAAGCTGCTTGGAGACCTGTAGCAGGTCTGTCATTCCGAAGGAGCCTGAAGCACATATTTCCAGCTGCCCTTTTAGGAGAAGCTAAACCCACGGTCACAACCTATATGGAACACCAGTTTCATGCCCCAGTGCTGTCCTCTATAAGCAATAACTGTGAGGAAGCAGCCTGGCTTCTTCTGGTTCTTTCCTTTGTGTAGCAGGTAAGCCTGGACTTTAATTCCTTAACTATTTGGCCTGTAACCCAAATGAACCAAACCACAGTGCCTCAAAACAAAGCACAATGTGCTTTACAGGGTTTTGTTTGAAGAAATATAAAAGATTACAGATTTATTGTACAAAAGTAAAAGGGAGCAAGACACATTAATAACTTATAATGCATTTGCCACCAAAGAGACAGTCATTAGAAGAGCACAGTTTCAAACAGAGTTCATGCAATAAATCTCCCACTGGAGGGAGTTCTCTAGTCATCCTAAGCCACGAGCTGTGCTATTTAGAGAAGAATTATCTTGCAAAGACCAGAAGCAACACATGGTTTCCTGGAAACCTTGCTCTCAGCAGTGTCTGTTAGCATTGAAATCTCAAATCTGAAGATTAAAATGCCTGTCTCGCCATTCATACCTCCTTATGTGACAAGCTGTTCCAAATACAGGTGTGTGCACAGGAGTTCTACAGCCTAGTTGATTTTTGCCTCAGGTAAACTTCATTTCATATGCACAAATTGAATTTCAGTGGAATAAAGTTACCATTTTGCTCCATTTACACTACATAATCCAAATGGCAAGACAGTAAGGAAGCTACTGGCAAGAAATACCCCTTGCCCCCTAACATCTGTTTCTCCTCATCCATAAATATGGGTTATTTATTGCCAGAAAGAAAAGCAATTATACATATAAGACCAAAGAATGAAGGATGGCCTATACTAAGCTACTATTTTAAAAATTTGTTTAAATTAAAATGACTGAAATTCTTCAAGATGCCTTATTTCACACAGGCACCCCAATGCCTTCACCCTCCCCACTGGCACAAAGTCCATAACTCTGCCACTAATACAGAAATGTCAGGAAGGTTTCTGTCTGTATTTAAGAGCGTGTTGTGGGATCCACATAACTAAAAAGGTGGACGTAAAGCTCATGGTAAATTCCATCCTTCTGCAAAAGTACAGGAGACACACTGACTGTGTTAAAAACGTATTTCAGTTTTTCAATGACTTGTTCCAGCCTGGGGACTCAGAATACCCTGAACTTGATGTCTAGCTATCCATACAGGAGAGATGCTGGCTGGGAAGTTAGTAAGAAAGGTGAGTTGCAAGCACAGTCCTGAACTTCAGCATCTCTCTGGACTTGGCACGTCACTCTTGGGTAATGGTCTCTGGACTTGGCACATCTGCTTGGGTAATGAAGCACCAAGCCTTTGTAAGCAAGCAGATGGAAAAGTAGCAGCCCTTTTTCTGCCATAGTCACCAACGAATGAGGAAGTATGGGTCAGTTTAAGGACATTCACAAACCTGAGAGGATTTGAATGGCAGGATGTCCTTTCCAGGAGAGCTTGTGAGGTTAGATAGACTGCTGGACAGGCTTTGATGCCTGCTGCCAGGAGGCCATCACTGTGTAGAAGT